CTAACCCTGACCCTAAACCTAACCCTAACCATAAACCTAACCCTAAACCTAACCCTGACCCTAACCCTAACCATAAACCTAACGCTAAACCTGACCCTAATCCCAACCCTAACCCTAAACCTAACCCAGTAACGAGTAACGATTCAGCCCATAAATGTATTAAATTAATAAAAAATATGTAGTAAATTAAAGTAGTTCATAAAATATATACTCCAATAAAGCACAGATACTGCATTTTGGTATTTAAGTACAGTACTTAAGTAGTTCTACTTCGTTACTGAACATCTCTGATCATAGACCCCTTTTAAAAGTCCTTTTTCTGCATTTAAAAACAAAAAAACACACTAACAAAGCCTACCTTGGCAAAGCAATTTTGTTCAGCATAGCACAGTACTCAGATTTAATTTCTGCTACCATAATGCTGAGCAGGACAAGGTAAAAAATAAATAAAATAAATAAATAAATAAAACCTTTAACTTTCCCCCCCCCCTCTGGGTTTTCTGCAGTGAGGAGGAGCCCCTGGCTGTCGTGGGCTCCCCCTACTGGATGGCGCCGGAAGTGCTGAGAGGAGAAGTTTATAATGAAAAGGTAAAGACGGATGGGCTCAAAGTCCAGTGTGGAGCCGGGGACGGTTAATAAAACCATAAATGTGTCAGAGGGAAGAGGGACACTTATGTAAGGGTGTGTTTATTGGCCCGGGTAGAAAGTGTTTTTACTCAGGAGCTGCTGGGAAATGAAACGAAAAAACGCTGATGTTTAAAACCTTTAGGTGGACTTTAAGGAAACAGGATAAAAGCAAACCGGTTGTCAAAATAGAGAAGATTTTAATTGGTTTATTACTGGTTATATTGTTTAGATGTAAACACGCTGATCACAGTGAGTGAAGACAGACAAGTAATTATACCTGTTTTTTTTAGATTATTATTGTAGCGTTTTGTCAATGAAATTTAAAGAGAGACTAAAAGTAATCATGTGGATTTTCCCTTTAAAGTTAAAAGAGACTCGATTTAGGTGGACTTTAAGGAAACTGGATCAGAGGAATCCGGTTGTCAAAATAGAGAAGATTTTAATTAGTTTTTGTTTTATTGTTTGGATGTTCAGATGCTGATCACAGTGAATGAAGAAAGACAAATTGAGTAATTTTACCTGTTTTCTTAC